GGGAAAGAGGACCCACCTTCTTACCCCTTTCAGACAAATTTCAGGGATTTTTTTTTTCCTTTTTCAGTTTGTTGCTGATATACCTCAAAGTGTAAACTCAGTTATCCAAGCCAAGGATATCCAACTCCGTAGCTGAGGTGGATCACTTCAGTTTGAAAGCCCACCTGAATGAGGGAGCTCTCCATCAAAATATAATGCTAATAACTGTGCAATGATCTGTAACCCCAGAGAGGCCCCAAAGCTACAAGGAATCCCCTCTGTGTTAACACACTTTCCTTCCTCACTTGAAGCTGCTAGACCGTGGGGAGGACTCCTCCGGCCGCCTCCCCACAACCAACATTTTCATATCTCTGAGTCATTTTCAGTTCCGTTCAATGTGGAGGTACCAGGTTTCCATGCAGCCTCAAAACTCCCCACCCCAAGTCCTGCTCTCTCCCCCTCTCTCCCACCCCACCCCACCCCACCTCTCTCCCTCTCTCTCTCTCTCTCTATACACACACATATATATATGTATATTCAAAAAAGTAATTTCAAGGCCCATGAGGATTAAATACAGAGAGATCCAATGTGTAATCCTCAGAGCTATTACCCCAAACTTTCAAAAAAGAGGTATACAAGGTCAGTGAGCTATTTCTGCTCATAGAACATGAGCAGTAACTGAACAAGGTGTGGGCAAAATTTCTTTTCTTTATCTTTCCTTCCTCCCTCTCTCCCTTCCTTCCTTCCTTGCAAATCTAACAAGTTATACCAGGTCTTATTTACACCTACATATGGCTCTGGACTTCAGATTATGGAGTACCAAACACATTCTGGCTTCTGAACAAGTGTTTTTGCAGTTCTGACACTTCTACCACAGATCAAAAAAATTCCAGATGCCTAACTTCAGTGTGTCCTGAGGAAAGAAAATCTATGAATGTTGGATGATGCCCGAAATTTCCCTCCCCTGACCTGGTGAGGACAAACAATGATATGTAATATTTAACAACTATTTGCCCTTAAAAAAAAACAACAACAAAAAACAACTACTTGCTTTTTTTCAATCCATAGGAACAAAGATACCCCCTACTAGATAAGTACTGTGATTTGATCTGACTCCGTCACACCACACAAACTGTTATTTCATTAATAAGCCCATGAAGAGATAGGATGGTCTCTTGTTTAAACAGGTAGATTGCGGAAGGTTTTGGATCTGCTCTCAGATCACTGAAGTGGCATCTCCACTGCTGCTAAAGGGAAGAGGGAAGAGAGAAAGGCAAGGAAGAGGAGAAATGGCAGGAAAGGAAGGAAGAGAGGACAAGGAAAAGGAGAAAACGAGAGGAACCACGAGGAGGAGAGGGAGTGGGCGGGAAAGCACATGGCCCTTCTGGGAGCTCACTCACCGCAACCCCCTTGTTGTCACCCTTTCGCTGAAGCAGCTGAGTCCCACAATGCTCTTAAGACCGGATTTTAACAGGAATTTGTAAATTCGCCCACAGTATAGTTAAAATAAAATCAACATTAAAGCAGTAAGAAAAGTTGAGAAAGCAAGGAAAGGGTGGGAATAAGTTAACCATGAGAAGACGCCAACTGGTAGGGTCCACGGTCTTTCAAATCACCACCTTTTAAATTATTTAGTACATGACCATTACTGCTGTAGAAGAAATACTGTATTTGCTCACTCTGAAGCAATCACCTCGTTAGTTCCACATGGGAGTTGTCATGAACTAGCACAAACAGTGTGTACGGGTTCTGTTTCACCCTTCTCATAAAAACTTCAAACTTGGTTTGAATCTCATTGTCTAGACGAACAACATATTTCTCTGCTCTCTGATAGGCTGTCCCATTTTCCTCCAGACCCAAGTCTACAAGGACACCTGCCAAGAAGAAAAAAGAGTTTATCTTTTTTACACACGTCTATGAGATTAAGTTCAGTGTACTGATATACTGGGTGCTAACCATATACAGAGATTTACGGAGCAGATAGCTTTCCTTTTCCATATTCCCCACAACAGTTTTGAGGAGGAAATATCAGGTTTCCTTTTCTTTAGAATACCGCACCCCACCTCCCATACTTCATACAAATGACAACAGGGACTGACCTGATACGTTAAGTAGAAGCTTGAATATATGAGACATCTGTCTAATTAAATTCTATTTATATGTGAAATATAAACTTATATTTATATGTGAATTTAATTATGTCTAATTAAATTCTATTTATCTGCTAACAGCTACTATAGGCCACTTGGAAAAAATGAAGCTTTGGACTAGTGCTCTTGGCCAAATTGATATAATTGTGTAAATCTTCCTTACCCCAAATTTAGCGACAAAACACATATAAGAAAAAAGGAAAATAAAATCTGATTTCCAAAGATACATCGCTAGATCATGAGCTTTTTTAGGTAGTATTTTACTCATTTTATATAGTGACAATGTTGCACAGTACCTAGAGTATGGGATGCCCTCAAAAATTGTTGGATTATGTACCAAATTAATAGAATGAACTGAATTACTCAAGATAATTATATTGTCAAAATGTTAGAAACTGTAAAACTTGTACTGTATCATTATCTCTGTCTATAGTAAAATTATTTCTACATACAAACATCTAAAATAGTTCTAGGCACATGAAGCTGTTGTTGGATAATTAAAACACCAAATCCTCCTTTAAAATGAAGAGACAAAGTGGCAATTATGTGAGGTGAAGTGTGTGTTAACTAACCTTATTGTGGTGAACATTTCACAATACATACATGCATGAAAACATCACACTGTATACCTTAAACTTAGACAATATGTTAATTATAGCTCAATAAAGCTGGAAAGAAAACACTGCCCCCAAACAAGGGTGCACAACACTCCCCTGCCCAAGACACTCAGCCCTCTGAGAGGAGAGCCTTGTCACTCAAGCCCATGATCCTCCTGGCAGAAGGAACCAGAAGACTGATTAGGGTTAGATATGTCACATTTGGGGGTTAGATATGGTCCTCCCAGGATATCTATTTAACATCCAATATCAGCCACATCTACCAGTTCAAACTGTGTGGAAAAAAATTTAAATTAAAAAAGATAAACAAGTTAAGTGAAGAGAATTATGTTGACTTAGTTTTGTTTGTCTAGTTTTTCTTTTCATATAAAACCAGACTAATTAACAGCTATATGCAATTAGCATCTAGATGCCGTAATACTAATAGCTCTAAATGGTATAAAAGAAAAAAGGAGGGCTTCCCTGGTGGCGCAGTGGTTGAGAGTCCGCCTGCCAATGCAGGGGACACGGGTTCGTGCCCCGGTCCGGGAAGATCCCACATGCTGCGGAGCGGCTGGGCCCGTGAGCCATGGCCACTGAGCCTGCGTGTCCGGAGCCTGTGCTCCGCAACGGGGGAGGCCATAACAAAAAAAAAAAAAAAAAAAAAAGAAAATAGGAAAAAATGTTTTACCGTATGAAAAATTCATCATACCAGAAAAGGTAAACAGAAAGGTAATTTTGCTTTCAAACTTTTTTCATCAGGAACCTTTACTCAGAGATTGTTTTCAATTTCCACCCACGTGTAGTCAAATTATGTGAATATTTCCAAAAGCAATTAATCAAACATTTAATTTGGCAAGTAGTCTGATTTTTTTGGAACGTAGATTGCTTATAAAAATTATTCAACATTCGATATTTACTGAACATCCATTATATATCAGGTACTATGTCAGGTATTGTGCTCAGCCTGGGGATACACAGGAGAGCAGGACAAACAAAGATCTTAATCTCATGGAGCTTATGATGGAGAAGATGGATATTTTTGACAAGTGTCATGATGAGAGACAAAGTCCTCTGGTGTAGAGGAGGTGAACAGAGGCACAGAAAGAGGACCTACTTAATCTCTGGTGGTTTCTGTTTCCTTATTTGTAAAATAGGGAGAGTAGAACCAGTTGAAAATTAGTCTATATTTCCTAAGTTTATCCTTAGGAAATAAGCAGTGAGAGTTAGGAGTCTCTTAATATGATAAGACCATAAATAATTCACAAAGAGGAAAAATGTATCTTATGGATAATTGAGTTGATCACATTTCAAAACAAATGAAATGCCGACCAATTGTATGCCTTTGACACGTCAAGTCCATACATGCCCTTAATGGAAAGACAAGGTTGCATGAATCTCAGAGGTCATTCTCTTAGACATAACATGGTATATTAGTCTATGCTGCCAGCTGGCTCTGCAGTGGTGTATCTCGGTGGGGGGGAGGCATATCAGAGGTACTTGATTGTTTTATTTCTAATGGGGCATTTTTAGTATATGATCCTTACCTTTACATTTTGTTTTAGACTTGCTTTTAGTTTTAAGTTTTGTTTCTTTCCTGGTTATGAAAGTGATAGATACTCATCTTGGGAAAACTGGAAAGTATAGAGATATATTAAAAAAGAAAAAATCATCCAGGATTCTTTAACTCAAAATAAGCCACTGTGAACATTTTTGTGCATTCCTTCCTACTTTTTTTAAATGGATATTCTGCTACCTAGCTCACATTTTATAACTGTATATCCTGACTTTTTAAACCTATAACCGTAAAGTGAGAAACAAAACTCTCCACAACCAGTCTAATGATACAGTATTTATCCTTTCATAGAAGCTGGTGGTCTTACACAGTGTATATTAAAATGTAAACAGAATATAATTTAATATTCCATTTTAATTCCTTTCTCCCTTCACAGCTTCTCCTTAGTAAATGTAAAACAAAAATGGATATGGTCTCTTTCTTCAGAGGGCCTCTTTCAAGAGGTGTTAATGGCATCATTATAAGCATTTTATTTCAACTCAATAAAAATACCTTATGGTCTTACTATATTTAGAAATAAATGGAACCACCAATTACTTAAAAAAAGAGAGAGAGAAAGAAACAAAACTATCACTATTTACTAATAATATGTCTTGGTAGAAAACATAAAATAATCTATCAATAAATCAATTAAATTAATAAGAATTTAGCTAAGTTGATGGATTCAAAATCAATTTATAAAAATTAGTTGTATTTCTATATACCAACAGCAAACAGTTAGGAAATGTATTTTAAAAAAACTATTTTACAATGACGTCAGAAAATATTGTCTACAAATAAATCTTATAAAAGGTGTATAAGACCTTTATGGAGAAAATGATGAAACTATTAATGACATTAAAGAAGACTTAAATTAGAAGTATATCATAAATATATAGTTAAAATTTTAAATTGTTTAAAAATGTATATGGCAGAGCAAAGAACCAAGAATAGTCAAGACAGACCTGAAGTAGAAAAGGTGGGAGAGATCTGCCTTACCAGAGACTAAGAATTATACAGCTGTATTAACAAGACAGTGGTTTTGGCATGGAACAAACCCTGGAAACACACCCACATGCATATAAAACGGAGATTTATGATAAAGCTTGCAATGTAGATCAGTGGTAAAGGATGGGCTCTTCAACAGTCAGCACTGAAGAACCAAGAAATTATATTGGATCTTACCTGATATGCAAAAAAAAAAGAAAAAATTCAGGTGGATTAAAAACTTAAATGTAAAAGACAAAACTCTGAAACTTTTAGAAGACAATAAAGGAGAATAACTGTGGCAACTCATAGAGGATTTCTTAAACAGAAAAGGCCAAATGATAGATAAACTAAACTTAAGAAGGTCTATTCATCAAAAATGTTACAAATAAAAAGACGAGCCTTCCAAATCTGTAACTAGTATTACTAAAAAGGATTAGTATTCAGAATACATAAATTACTCCTACAAATCCAAGAGAAAATGGGCAAAAAAAAAAAAAAAAAACTTTAGCAGGCATTTCCTAGAAGAAACCCAATGGCCAATATGAAAAGATGTTCAGCCTCATTAATAATAAGGGAAATAAAAACCATAATAAAATGGAATAATACCACATTTACACAAGATAATTGTATTTTTTTTTTTTTTTTCTTGCGTTATGCGGGCCTCTCACTGTTGTGGCCTCTCCCATTTGCGGAGCACAGGCTCCGGACGCGCAGGCTCAGTGGCCATGGCTCACGGGCCCAGCCGCTCCGCGGCATGTGGGATCTTCCCGAAACGGGGCACGAACCCGCGTCTCCTGCATCGGCAGGCGGACTCTCAAGCACTGCACCACCAGGGAAGCCCAAGATAATTGTATTTTAAAAAACAAGATAATTGTAAGAAAGAAGTGGATGAAAGAAAATACTTAGGTACCTCATTTCTGCAAAACAAATTCAAGAAGGATAAACCACAACCTAAAGAGATTGGTTACCAGTAGGGGGATGGGTGGGAAAGGGGTGTAAAGAAGGGAGAATGGGAATGAGTAGGTATGAGGAGGGAGAGATGCTTCTCTGAATATACCGTTTTGTATAGCTTTGGCTCTTGGAACCATAGAACAAAGTTAATCAAGAATGGAGTGGTGGGCTTCCCTGGTGGCGCAGTGGTTGAGAGTCCGCCTGCCGATGCAGCGGACACGGGTTCGTGCCCCGGTCCGGGAGGATCCCACATGCCGCGGAGCGGCTGGGCCCGTGAGCCATGGCTGCTGAGCCTGCGCGTCCGGAGCCTGTGCTCCGCAACGGGAGAGGCCACAACAGTGAGAGGCCCACGTACCGCAAAAAAAAAACCAAAAAAGGATAACTGAACCTCTGTCACAGGACTGCTCTGAGGACTGAATAAACATGAGTCAAGTACTCAGCAGAAGTTGGCGTACACAGGAAATACTTGATACATGGCAACTACTTCCCTGGTGGCGCAGTGGTTAAGAATCCGCCTGCCAGTGCAGGGCACACGGGTTCAAGCTCTGGTCCGGGAAGATCCCACATGCCGCGGAGCCACTAAGCCTGTGCGCTACAACTACTGAGCCTGTGCTCTAGAGCCCACGTGCCAC